CTCCCATATTCCTATATTCCGTCCTTTGTCCTCAGACACACCTCCGCATTCAAAGGATAGCTCCCAGATACTCCAGTATCTGCGTACAACAGCAGCAGAAACTCCTTCCAAACTCCAAATCAGCAGGTATCCTGATTTTTATAACCATGCACAGATATATCCAGATCCATGACATAACACTAGTTTACAGTCAACATGTTTAAATAATTTCCCCACTGGTCTGTGTATGAACATAGAAACCAAGGGCACATAGGTCTCATGGTGACCCCAAAATGGTTGTTTTGTCACACAGGCAAGCACGTGTTCCTTCCAAATACGTAACCTTTAATAATTGTGACATTTTGAAATGGGAAAGGGCAAAAAGGAGGGAGAGGCGAGTCATGCTATATAGACTCTAAAATGTTATGTTCGTTGTTTTTTTTTTGTTTTTTTGCTGTTTCGCAACTTTGAGCCAGAGAAAGGCTAGCATTTTCCCTCCAAGCTGACTCGGGGAAGCTGAAACACAACAAAGACCTATTTGATTTGTGCACAATGAACAGGGATTTAAAAACGCAGCCTTAGTGGACAGCTCTACCAGCCAGAGAAAAGTTCTTCCAGATCTTCCTCCCGTCAGCATGATAAAATGGTACTATACTTTGGTTAAATGTAAAATCAGCTTTCCAGGAACAGTGGAATATCCTTTCTCTTCCATCAGTTCCCTAGATTCTCTTCGTTACTACATTCTCTAGCCTAACATTCAGTCCTTGCTGAATTAACTAATATTCAGATACATTCAAGATAGAACTCACACTCAGTTCTATCTTTCCAAAATTTAAGAGGATGAGAGGTCTTCACTCGCATGGTAACAAACACAGCAGCAAACCCCATAAAACTGAACATCAACTGCCTTCTGGAAGTTCTCATCTGGCAAGCTAGTGCAGGTATCTTGTGCACGGGTCAAGAGAGTGAAGCTCAGAGCACACTGCTTGGCACCCAGCAGGTGTTCAGGACAAGTTTTAGCTCAGCCCTCCTAGAAAACTATGAAATAAAATCTAAACAAAAGTATTACGATTGAAATAAAAGGATGTTTTTCTAGAGTATCAATATATGGAAGTGACTTGCCCAAGAATAGACTCAAACCAACCGAAACCCAGTAAAATGAGATAATTGAGAAAGCAGCAGCAGAAAATCAATGTCAGGTTTTCCACCTCAAAAAGACCTCTTCTAAACTGAATCTGAAGAGGAATGGGAGGAGGCAGAATGAGAACATGAGACCACTCCTTGGGGTCTACAAGAAGGTTAAGGTGACTGCAGGGCTGTGAGCCGTAGGGGAGTTGCCATTGTCAGCATCGGTCAGGGAGGCTGGAGTGGGCAGACCAGGACAACTCCACAGCTTCGGCAGCAAAGGTCCAGGACCAAGGAAAGCAAGTACACAGATTGTGCTTCACACAACAAACACAGCAGTTTCCAAACAGCACAGCCTCAGTTCGAACCGGCCCAGGAGCACACCATGTCCTTTCAGGACCTGCCCCTTCCAGTGCCCTAGGGCAGACTAATCTCTTAATGCTTTATTCAACTTCGTAAAACACTGGTGGCTCATTTTATGTGTTTTGAATTGGTGAAAGGATGCAGGTTGGTCACGGGTTAAGCTCGGTAAGTCAGCCTTGCAGATACAAGTGGCAGCTTAATTATCCTGGAGGCAGAGCTCATTGCCTAAGAGCCCTTTCACACGAGTCTCTGCTTTTCCTTTATCCTAGAGGGCAAGCTGGCTGGTTACTAATTATACCGTCAAAAGCTGTCCTAGGCTCCTAAGTTGCTGCTGATACAAGTGTTTCAGCCTAATATTTGGACTCTAATAGAAGGCGGCACTTTTGGTTTGGTAAGAGACAAACTGGAAGGCTGGGCAACAAGTAAGTTAAAGTTGTCCATTTATCAAACACAATGCCTAAGAGACACAGAGGCTCCCTTCTGTTTCCATGCACTGGCTGTTTCCACGCAGCTGAAAGAGATGAGCTGTGGACACTTAGACCTTGTATTGAGATGAATTGACTGGCCAAGAGGAAAAGAAGAAAGTGGTTGGGAAATATTTTTTGGAACTGGTGGGGCATTCCTGTAAGGGAAATCAATCTAAAACTAAACATTCTTTCTACAACATGTGTATAAAATACACTTTTTTTTTAATATACAGACACGGTCTTGCTATATTGCCCAGGCAGGTCTCAAACCCCTGGCTTCAAGCAATCCCCCCACCTAGGCCTCCCAAAGTGCTGGGATTACAGGTGAGGGCCACTGCACCTGGCTACACATTTTAATCCTTGAAAATCCTAAATCCCGTTCATTGTTTTTACACTGATGAATCTTCCCAACTGTAATTTGTTTCCATCCTCTCACATTCTAAGTGTCTGCTCTCCATGGTCTTTCACTGAGTCTAGAGCAGAAGCAAGATCACAATTCTTTGGCACTCAGTTAACGTACTATGTTTTGCTATGGATTAGCAGCAACTAAATGCTGTAACCTATTGGGGAATCTCAGGAGTGACATTTAAGCTAGTCAGTTTAAATCGAATCCTTGTTCTATGTGACTTACCCAGTACTTCCCAATGATCTTATCCAGTCATCTTCTACAGTCAACTGAAGACTACACAAAGAAGCACTGCTCATGCATATGGCACAGCAGAGCACTGGGACCCGCCCAGCTCCTCTCTGAAGCTCTGTAATTGGGCCGCTACTGCCTAGAGTAGGAGAGAGGCAAGCCTTAGTGCTGGGCCCTGAGTATAGTGAGCAAAAGAAATGTCCAGCTCCATGAAAGAATTACAGAGGTAATAAGCAAAGCAGTGGTCTCAGGAATTGGAAAGACCCAAGCAAGAGTCAGAATTCAACAGTTTTTACACAAAGAATATCAAAATCTTAAGTTGGAAGGACACCTTCCATGATCTGATTCCCAGCCACATCAAACTTCCATTTATAAATGAGGGGAATGGGGCAGAGAAAGCTCCTGTTAATAAAAGAGGAGGCCACGCACAGTGGCTCACACCTGTAATCCCAGCACTTTGGGAGGCCAAGGTGGGCAGATCATGAGGTCAAGAGATCAAGACCATCCTGGCTAACACGGTGAAACCTCGTCTCTACTAAAAATACAAAAATAAGCTGGGCATGGTGGTGCGTACCTGTAGTCCCAGCTACTCGGGAGGCTGAGGCAGGAGAATCGCTGTAACCCAGGAGACAGAGGTTGCAGGGAGCCAAGGTCATCCACTGCAGTCCAGCCTGGCAACAGGGCAAGACTCCATCTCAAAAAAAAAAAAAGAAGAGTAAAGGGAAAATAAGGGGCTACAGAAAGGCGTAGGACACATCAATGATGTCGAACCACATCTTACTAAGATGCGTTGCTGTGGCACTCTAAACTCTTGCTTGCTTCCATTACAATACATCCAGGTGATCTCAGAAAATTGTGCAGTGAACAGGCTACTGCGAAACTACGATTTTCCTCTCATTATACACCAGCAATACATACAGCTCAACAGTCTCAGTTTAATGACAAGAACGTAGGACTTCACAAGCTTCTAACTATAAATTCAGCTTTTCAAGAGGAAATGCTTTGAGGATTGTCTTAAGAATTATTTTAAAAAACTATTGTGAGAGATCTGCAAATTTAGGTTTAGGCATACTGCCAATATCCTAAACTAAGCGAGATTTGTAATGTCTGCCAGTTCGTCTGAGGTGAGGATGGAAAGCAGCACCAGTATCCACAGGACACCAGCACCATCCATGGAGTTCTCAAGGGCCACTCAAAAAAGACTGCATTCTGAACACTTGTTGTTTTATAGTATTTGGTGCTTCTGGTCGTCACCATGTCCTCCCACACCCATTACACACATACACACATCCCCTGCAGAGTGCAACACAACATTGCAAAGCCACAAAGAAATGTATCAGAGAACTAGTATATGGACCCAACAAAGCTTCAGGAGGACCTTGTTAGACCCAATTAAAGCCATATGGCATCTAGTGAACACATTTTTAAAAGGCTGTCCTGTAGCTCAGATATTACAAAATACCACAGAAACAAATGTAAACAACTCCAATCCTTTACTATACATTAAGCTACTAAAAGTAACAGGCCTCAAGAAAATCATATTATTGACTGAATTTTCTTCACTGTGATGATAAAAAAAAAAACTCAATATACATGTGTAGCAAAAAAAAAAAAAAAAAATTCATCGTATGTAGGACTCAAAATATTCTTGCAGCACTTAACATTCCAAGCCATTTCCTTATATGCAAAACAATTTTTAAAAAAGCAGGAAGACATTGGCAATATTCCTATTTTCTGTAGATGCTAGTAGTGGTTTATTCCTATGTTGTGAATCAGATTTTGTCACTATAGCATGTTTCTATAGTTGTTTGTATAAGTCATTTGTGTTTGGCCTTTTTCTTGTAGAAAAAATAAATCTTGAATTTTGTGTATTTAAGTCTGAAAAGCAAAATGTTCTTCAAATAAGAGGCTATCTTTGAAGAACAATACCTGATTACCACTCACAGCAGTAAAACTTTTTTAAAAGATATCATCTACTTAAATTACAAATTAGGGGCTAAGTGTTCAAAACACAAGGAAAACAAAATCATAACCACCTCATCCCAGGAGCCACAAACAGGAGTCCCTAATACCAAATGGCCTTTGAACAACATTGCTTCACAGCCCAGAAAGTTCCACCACAGAACCCAAGAAAGAGCTGCAGAGAGAGAAGAGGTGGACCTGAGTGGGTGTGTGGCCAAAGCACCCACCCCAAGTCCAGTTCAACCAAACTAGCTGCTTTCATTTAGTTCATAAATCAGGCCTTTGAAAAAGATAGAGCACTGCTAAAATGAAAAAACAAAACAAAAAACAAAAAAACAGAAACCCCTTACAAAAATTATCTGCCTATGCTATGTTCTGATAATTCTGAAATGTCCAAATAACATTGTGTATCTGTTCTGAATATTTATTACATATCTTTCTGTAATAAAAATCAAGACCACCATGTCATTTACACTTTTTTTTAATCTGGTAAGAACAGCATCAGAAAACAACCTTCGATCTAGAGGAGAACCAAGAGCAGGGAGATCAGCAGTCAACTATTCCCAAGGCCAACCTTGCCACAAAGGAACCTTTGGGTCACACCACCCCTAAGGGCTGTAAATATATCTCTTAAAAGGCTTCTGGGAGTGCAATTCTCACCACTACAATCAGAAATAACACTCGAGATCAGCACCCCAAGGAGTTGACATCTGTAGTTTAGAAACAAAAACAAATGGAGCTCCAGAAATGAAATTACAAATCAATCACATGAATGACAGGCGGCCGTCAGTTGGCCGACCCCTACTGGGTCTAAAGGGAAATCTGTCACTGGGGCCGCCTCGCCCTGGCAAGATGGGGTTAGGTCCTGGGAGTGGGCCAATTGGATCAAAGCGTGGTCTGAGTGGAGGGAACTGGCTGGGCGTCTCCCCAGGACCAGGAATGAGTGAATTGATTGGGTCTCCAACATAGGGAAGTGTTGGTCTTTGGTCATATTCACCCCCGATAATTCCTGGAGGAAGGCGGGAGCTAGGAAATGGCCTAGGGTGCAAGGGGTTGGGATAGAATGGAATGCCGTGAGTTGACGACGGCAGGAGCATCACAAACCGCCCTTTGGGGGATTCTTTTCTTTGTATGTGCCTCTTCCTGTACAGCTGTAGAAAAAAGAAAAATAAAAGAACAAGATAAGGTAAGTGATCTGGATGTTTCCCTGTAGTTCTAATTTGCTTTCATAGTAAAGATCTGTAGGTACACCTCAGAGATTGTGGATTTAGTCCCAAACCAATGCAATAAACCAAGTCACACAAATTTTTTGGTTTCCCAGTGTATATAAATCCTACGTTTACTATACTAAGTGTGCAATGGCATTATATCTAAAAAGACAATGTACTTAAAAATATTTAAAAATACTTATTGATAAAAAATGCTAACAATCACCTGAGTCTTTAGCAAGTTGCAATCTTTTTGCTAGTAGAGGGTCTTGCCTCCACGTTCATTGCTGCTGACGGGTCAGGGTGCTGGTTGCTAAAGGCTGAAGTGGCTGTGGCAATTTCTTAAAATAAGACAACAGTGAAGTTTGCCACATTGACGGACTCTTCCTTTCATGAAAGATTTATCTGTACATGTGGTGCTGTTTGATCGCATTTTACCCACAGTAAAACTTTCAAAATCAGAGTCAACCTTCTCAAACCCTGCTTCTGTTTTGTCAACTAAATTTATGTAATATTCGAAATCCTTTGTTTTCCAGGAATAGATTTCATTCCAAGAAACCACTGATAAAGAAAAGGTGGTATATGTATACCATGGACTACTACTCAGCCATAAAAAGGAATGAAATAATGTCTTCTGCAGCAACTTAGTTGCAGCTGGAGACCATTATTTTAAGTGAAGTAACTCAAGAATGGAAAACCAAATCTTGTGAGAGCTAAGCTATGAGGATGCAAAGGCATAAGAATGACATAATGGACTCTGGGGACTTAGGGGGAAAGGCTGGGAGGGAGGTAAGGGCTAAAAGACTACATCTTGGGTACAGTTTACACTGCTTGGGTGGCGGGTACACTAAAATCTCAGAAATCACCACTAAAGAACTTATCCATGTAACCAAAAACCACCTGTAACCCAAAAACTGACTTTTTTTTTTTTTTGAGATGGCGTCTCACTGCTCTGTCGCCCAGGCTGGAGTGCAGTGGCGCGATCTTGGCTCACTGCAAGCTCCACCTCCCGGGTTCACACCTTTCTCCTGCCTCAGCCTCCCAAGTTAGCTGGGACTACAAGCGCCTGCCACCACGCCCGGCTAATTTTTTGTATTTTTAGGTCAGATGGGGTTTCACCGTGTTAGCCAGGATGGTCTCAATCTCCTGACCTTGTGATCCGCCCACCTCAGCCCCTGAAAATGCTGGGATTACAGGTGTGAGCCACCACACCCGGCCGACATTTTTTTTCAAAAAAAACCACTTTCTCTCTTCATCCATAAGAAGCAAGTTCTCATCCATTCAAGTTTGACTGTGAGATTGCAGCAATTCAGTCCCATCTTTAGGCTCCACTTCTAATTCTAGCTCTCTTGCTAGGTCCATCACATCTGCACTCCTCCACTGAGGTCTTGAACCCCTCAAAGTAATCCATGAGGATTGGAATCAACTTCCAAACTCCTGTTAATGTTGATATTTCATCTCCCCACCAATGAATCCTGAATATGCTTAATGGCATCTAGAAGGGTAAATCCTTTCCAAAAGGTTTTCAGTTTCCTTTGCCCAGATCCATCAGGAATCACTGTCTCTGGCAACTATGGCCTTACAAAATGTATTTCTTAAATAATAAGATTCAAAGTCAAAATTACTCCTTGATCTATGAGCTTCAGAATGCAGTTGTGTTTGCTGACATGAAAACGTTAATCTCCTTGCACATCACCATCAGAGATGTGGGATGACTGGCTGCATTGTCCATGAGCAGTATTTTAAAAGGAGTATTTTTTATAAGCAGTAGGCCTCAATAGTGGACTTGAAATATTCAGTAAACCATGCCATAAACTACGTACTGTCATTCAGGCTTTGTTGTTCCATTTACAGAGCAAAGGCACAGATTTAGCATAATTCCTTTTTT